GATGGATGAAGACATGAGTTATTTTTTTTTCTAGGGGCTTTGGTGTGAGCTGGACAGTTCCTTCAAGCTGCTGTAGCCACCATATCAATAATATTCAGTGAAACTGGATGCTAGTGATTCATGCCTATAATTCTAGGTGCTTGGAATGCAGAGGTAAGAAGGATTGAAGACTGAGGTTGACCTAGGCACAGAAAAGTTCATCAAGCTCTCATCTCAACCAATAGCTGGACATGGTAGTGTATAACGATCTTAACTTTGCAGGAGACTAAGACTGGGAGGTCAGTCCAGGCAACAGAAAAGGCTGGGCAGGTGGTTCCTGCCTATTATCTCAGGCACAACCGTAACTATAAACAGGAGGATCATGTCCAGGTTGGTGGGAGCCAAAAGGGCTAGAAGTATGACACAACTGGTAGAACTCCTGCCTAGCAAGCATGAAGCCCTGACTTCACTTCTTAGTGTAAGCATTCACAAAAAGAGACAGAGAAAAAGAGGAGAGAGGGAGGAAGAAGGGGGGAAGGAAAGAGGAGGGAGAAAGGGAGAAAAGGGGAGAGGGAGGAAGGGAGAGAGAAAGAGAAAGAGAGAGAGAGAGAGAGAGAGAGAGAGAGAGAGAGAGAGAGAGCTGGGACTTAAATTCAAGTTTATTTCCACACTAACAGCAGACAGTGGGCAAGGAAGGTGGTCAAGCTGTTGCGGAATAAGACCTGGCCAATACTTAATAAACTGATAAACTGAAGGGCTAACAGAGCAGCCACTCCTAGGTGGCTGTAAGAATTCAGACCTATTGTGCTTGTACTTGATCTCTTTCTGTTAAAAAAAAAAAAAATCTAGAGAAAGAACTAGAAACCAAGAGCTCCAAATCCTGCCTTTCTACTCCAACATGGTGTGGTAGGAGCTCAAGGGACAGGCACCTTGCAGAAGGATAACTGCCAGTGGACATGAAGGCTGCTGAGAGGCACAGCAGGACTGCCTGGCATCACAGTGCTGCTTCAGGCTGGTCTGTGAAACATCTTAGAAAACACCTACACGCGTCTCCCTGGCTCCTTGTGGGCAACAAGCATATAGACCACCATTCTATAGGCAGCTGCACATCTCCAGCCAGATTTAGACTGTAGGCCATGCCTTGAGGCCTGATTCAGGAGAGACCAAAGTTTTCACAGAGAAGGGAATGAGGCAGTAGGGAGATGCAAAGGGCTACAACTGCCATCTGATGATCTCTATCTGAAGAAAGGTCTTTGGTAATGAGGCCCACCGTGTTTCAGGAAGAGACTCACTACATGGAGCTCTGAATGGCAATGGCCAATCCGCTCAGCTTCTGTAGGCAGAAGAGCTCATCTTCTAACTGGTGAAAGGTGAAGGCCACCGTGTTGCCATGGTGACTGGTATTAGAGAACACTGGGGCCCATGGAGATAGGCTATCACTTCATAGGCCTTCACTTATTTTTCTCTTAAAAATACATTTTAATACCAAGTCAAAATCAGTACAGGTAATAAACATAATGAAAGGCAGAGAAGCAGGCTGGCTGTCTCCAAGGAGATCTCGTCACCTTTGGGAGATGCACTGAGAACAGCTAAATGCTCCCTACCCTGCAAGTGCTTATGGAACAAGGGCCTGGCAAGAGACTGGGTTGATTTTCATGGAAGACAAAAAGTCAAATACCACTAAAGCACCTGTTTAAGGAGGAAGAGGAGGTCATCGCAAATAATTATAATAATGGCAGAAAATGCTGATTTCCACCTTTGGGGCTACCCAAAGTATAAACCTCGAGAGGAGGAAATATGTTTCCATCCCATGAGTGAAGAGCCATCTAAAAAGTCACCTAAAAATAGAGGACACAGTCACCATCTTTTGCTCTCCTGGTCATTCCGTCTATCCTCACGAGGCTGCAGGGGCAGAGCTGGGCAGCAGCCAAATCAAGATCAACTTCAGGCCTTGGTGCTGGTGCTCAGCACAATCTGCAGTTCTTAGGCGGCCTATAACTTGGACCTGAGAGACCAGCTGCATTTCTAAAAGGGAGTAAGAAGTGTGTTGTGAGAAGAAGACACTCAGGGTTGACACAGACACCAGCACAGGGCAGAGGGGAAAAGGAAGTCAAAGGGGGTCACAAGGCAGAAAGGAAGGTTCAGATTCAGCCAGGTCTCTAAGGGCCTTAAATGCCACCTAGACAGCAGGGACTGGGTTCGGTTCAGCAGAGAATGAAAACAAGATTATGAACCATCAAGGACAACAGCAGCTGAGTGGCCTGCTACACTACCCCAGGACAGAGTTGTGCTAGGGAGGCCTGCGGGCAAAGGCCAGGCCTCACCAAAGCAGGCTCTTACAGACTCAGCCTTTTGTGGGTAACAGCACAGATGTGGGGCAGGGAAATGCACAGTCAGCTGGCAGCAAGAGAGAGGGAATCAGGGTCTTTTTTGGGGAACTATCAATGCCCTAGAAGTGGCTTTCCGACATCTGCCAGGAAAGCTTTTCATTAAAAAAAAAAAAAAAAAAAGCAAAAGGAAAATCTATCTGGCAAAACCCCAACATACTCGATTGTAAAGAGAAAACAACCAAACTGCACTTCTTTCTGTAGGGCTCTGCTGTCTTCTGGCTTTCCAGTCATGAACACAGACATGGAAGGACATTTTTCAGAGGTGCTGGGGCCATGAGCTCACAGGTCAGAAAGAAAAGAAGTAAATGTTTAAGGCACTAAGGTCTTCTCACTTTCTCTTGAATAATTCATTTTAAGTAGAGAGTTCATGCCTGCTTTGACTACGGTAGGTAAATCTATTCAGAAGAAAGTGCTCAAGAACAAGTCTGGGAGCCTCCTCTGTCCCAGGTCTTTAGTGGGCTTTCAAGTAGCAATCCCTGGAGTTTAGGCACATCTGAGGAAGTCCTGGGACTCTGAATGTCAGCTCCTTCCTAAGGGAGACAGCTTTCCTATCAACTACAGCTGGTTGGCTGCAGAAGTACACACTAAGCAAGTTCATCATACCACAACAGAGCCAAACAATGGCTCCTGGGTCCCTACAGCCACTTAGCTATGGGCCGTTTGGTAAGGGTTAATCACAGATAACTTGACTCCATCAACAAGAAAGCATCAAGCTAGCTTTGTATCTGTCTCTCTTCCTATTCCCCCAATAATTCTTTTCAAGCACCAATTAGCACTGATGATGAAAAAATTAAAAACAACAGTATTTTCCTGTTCACGTGCCTCTAGGACATGGGCTAGAGGCAGGCATGATACACAAGTACTCCAGGAACCCTGACTTAGAGGTAGAAGGCAGGAGGAATATGAAGACATGAAGGAGCAGGCAGACAACAGAGAAGCAGAGAGAAGTGTACTGCGACAGCGGAAGTGGCTTTTGTGCTTGATGTCAACAGACCTCTATCCATGGCAGAAGACCAGGAAAGCACCTCTTAAGCAGAGGCCCATTCTGAACAAAGCACAGAGGGAAGGAACAACAGATTTTTCTGCAGATAGTGCAAGGGTTCTCTGTACCTTCCACAGGCAGGCAAGTTTCTTCCTGAGGGAAAAGCTGGCCAAGAGCAGCAGAGGCACAGCTATGTACCTGCATGACCAGGATATGAAGCTGAGGACTTGAGGACAGAAACAAAGGACAGCCACTGCATGCTTTTGAGCAAAGGATTAACATAATCAGATATGTGCTACTGATGGATAATTTGGAGCCAGGTGGAAGGAAACAAGGATTAGTGACAGATCAGTTAGGGACCTAGAGTGCACAGGAGTCACAGCAAGGGGCTGGACCAGAAGAATAGGCTGAGAAGCAGGGAGATTTGAGAGAAGACACACGGGTTCAGGGAGGTAGACTGGGAACTGAAACAGGGAGAAAGAGGCTGGATGTTCACAAACTTCCAGCCTACACAGAGAGGTAGATAGATGAATGGGAAGATAGGACAAACTCTGTCCTATACATGCCATAGTGTCACAGAGTTGCAGAATTAAAGTCTCTGACATACTGAGAATGGCCAGAACCCTGGGAAATGAGGAAATTACCTAGAGAGACTATAATAGGGGTTACCTCTCTAAGGGAGTACCAACATTTAAGGATCAGGTAAGAAATAATTAACAGAGATTTACAGGAAACATAGCCCTACAATATGAAGGGCTTGTGATACAAACTTATTCCCATGTTTCTTCAAAACTAAGTCTTGGGGCTGGGAAAGTGGCTCAGTGGTAAAGTGCCCTGGGTTCGATTCCTCAGTACCACCTAAGTAGAAAAAACCTGAAGTGGTACTGTGGTTCAAGTGGTAGAGTACCAGCCTGAGCTGAAAAGCTGAGGGACAGTGCCCAGGCCCAGAGTTCAGGCCCCACAACCAACAAAAACAAAAAAAGTAAAAACTAAGTCTCCTGGGGTCTGGAATAGATTCATAAAGGACTTCCTGCCTGTTCTTCAGAGATGAATTCCCTTAAGGAGGCAAAGAGGTGGTGACATAGCTACCTCCAGCCCCTTTCCTTTTTCTTTAGAGACATTTTTTTCTGCTCAGACCTCTTTCTTGTCACATGTTTCAGTACAATGTACTTCAACCAGAAACAAAATCAAGCCACAATTCAATATTATTTGTACACTAATTACTACCAAATTAGCTATATCTAATGCTAGATTCAAAACAGATGTCAGAGTCATGATTGAGCTAAACTTGGACTGTTCTACAGATTATTCTCCCATTGGGAAGAGAACTAAGATCCGGAACTTATGGCTTCCTAGTAGATCCCTCAACTCACCATGAGTGATGCTTTGAAGCCAACAACTGCCTGTACTCCACTTAGGGCCACTTCATGTTTCTAGGGCTGGTACACGGACACGGACCTTCTACTACTACCAAGAACCAAAGCAGAAAAGCTCAGTAACTCGGGCCATCCAGCTGATAGAGTGTGTGTTTCTGTATGGGAGCTCCCATCAATGAGTCACAGGTCAGCTCTTAGCCTTCTACTCATTAGTGGTGGAGAGGCCTGGTTCTTCATGTCTCAAATAAAGCTTTCTTTCTTTTCAAAGGGTACATGATGATTCCTGGAGCTCAGGGTAAGGAAATGCATCAGCTGTGGCTAGTAGGTATTCAGGACTGCATGTCTCCTCCAGCCTTTTCTCTCACTAGGGATTACAGTGTAGAGATAGTCACTTGAGGAAAATTCAGAAAAGAAAGGTGACCACTTATATTCCTCATATGTCTATCTCATGTCTTCTTAAACCATCAAGGTTTAAGAAGTATGTTAAAATAATGACAGTTACGTAGCTTATGACAATTTTGAGTTTGACCCTTAACAGTTATCTGGTGTGACCATCAAGGTAGGGACACCCTCCCTTTCAGGAGATGAGAAAGCCAGGACTTCTGAAGGGGCATGACTTAGCCAAGGGCATGTGGCCAATAAAAGGCAAATGGAGTGCTGAGCTCAGAAGTTGGAAGATTTCAAGCCAGGTGACAGGGGCTCACCTGTATTCCTAGCTACTCGGGAGACTGAGATCTGAGGATTGCAACTTGAAGCCATCCTAGGTAGAAAAATCCAAGAGACTCTTATCACCCATTAATCAGCAAAAAGCTGGAGGTGGAGCTCAACTGGTAAAGCACCAGCCTTGAGTGAAAAAGTCAAGCAAGAGTGTGAAGCCCTGAGTTCAAGTCCCAATACTAGTATTTAAAAAAGTTTAAAAATTTCAAGACTTATTGACGTATTGTCTTCTGTAAGAAATTTCACACAAGAAAAACTCCAGTCACCGCTGCCCCGTGAGCAAGCGGAACCAAGTATCTTATGTGCGGCCAGCGGAACCCGCGTTCCTGTCCCGCTTCAAGGAGTGGGTGGGCTACAAGGAAGGGCCCACTGTGGAAACCAAGAGAATCCAGCCGCAGATCCCAGACGAAGATGGTGAGCACAGTGACAAAGATGACGAACAGCCCCAAGTGATGGTTTTGAAAAAGGGAGACCTGACTGCTGAAGAAGTCATCAAAATTAAAGCACAAGTAAAGGCTGCCAACGCCAATGAAGAACCAGCTCCAGCTGATGGGAGAATCATGTATGGAAAACCAGAGAAGCAGGGGGAGGACAGGAAGGGATGGGAAGGGGAAACAAAGGAGGAGGCTACAATGCTTGGTAAGAAATGTACTCATTATCTTGCCCATGTAATTGTAACCCCTCTGTAAAGTATTTTCACAATAAAATAATAACAATAAATTAAAAAAAGATTCCTACAGCAAAAAAAGAAAAGAAAAGAAAACCAGAGAAGTGCACCACACGCGAAAAATACTCGGGTTTAATGGCAAACTCAAAAAAGAAGAAAACAAATGAAAATGAAGTAAATACGAGGACTCAGTTAAAAAGAACTCTCACAAAAGCAAATCAAAATCAGTAGCCTCCTTTCTTTTGGCCATGAAGAAGAAAATGAGTAAATGTAAATGTTTGTCTTAAAGTCTCCTTTGGAATTATCTGAGGTATTTTTTTTTCAAATAACATTTTCCTGTCACTTTTAAGATAGCATTTTTTCTTATTATACTACAAGTTAGTTATAGACTATTTAGAAAATACAGGAAAACTTTTGATAAAACTGATCAATACCCCAACTGGAAATTTTGTAGTGTTCTGTTAGTTTTCTCTCTGGGTGTCTGTATATGTAAACTGCATTTTTAAGCAAAACTGAGATTGTACTATGTACATTCGTCTTGCATCCCACTTAATATTGTGAGTGATTTGCAAGATAAATTTTATAAATCTAACATAACTGGGTACAGGAAAAAAAAGAAATTTCACACGAAGTATTTAATTTTCTGATTCTAAAGTTTACCCTCGTCCATCACACCATGCTGAGTTCCTAAAAAAAGACTCCTACCTACACACTTCCATTTTTATAAACTTAATCAGATTTATAATACAGAAACAAGATTTAGGAATATAGAATCATAACAGCTTCAAAGACAGCCTAAAATTCCTGGAGGAAAATAAGCCACACACACCAGCCCTTCCAACAAGAAACTACAGGATAAGGAGAGAAAATATACTAAGCACGTGCTCTACTACTTGAGCCATGCTCACCAGTCCTGAGAGATAAAATGTACTGATATATTTAAAGATACATATAAAAATTCCAAGGTGTCAATTAATAGGGAAAAGACTAAAGTCTTCCAAAAAAGTAGCATCATAAGTCAAGAACTGAAATTCAACTCAAAGTGTAAATAGGAAACCTTTTCTTCGAGGTTAGAAGCCAAACTGATCATCTTGCCAATCTTTAATACAAAGTTGATCACTGATCATGTGAAAAATTCTTATAATCCATCTCTTCTCCAAATTCAAAGACATATGTGGATGACACAGTCTGACCAGGCCACAGAAAGAAAAGGAGAGAAGCAAACTGGATCCATGCCTCCAAAATTGTATGTTGGGGACCCAAAAATGTGGCCAAACATGGTCCAGGAAAACTAGTATATACAAGGCTTCATGGAGAACTGATAAGATACTGTAACTGGGAAAAAAACTCACTGCAATTCTTGTATTTGTTTTTTTTTAATTTATAAGGCTTTTTATTTTTAAATTTTATTGTCAAGGTGATGTACAGAGGGGTTACAATTACATAAGTAGTGATTACATTTCTTTACTAACTTACTACCCCTTCCCTCATTTCCTCCCTCTCCTCCAATTTTCCCCCTCAAGTTGTACAGATCATTTCCAACATATTTTGAGTATCATGCAATGCTTGTACTTCTTTTTATTTTTTTTTTTTAGTGAAAGCAAGGTTATATTATGGGGCTTGTACTTCTTAAAAACAAAACAAAACAAAAAAAACCTTGCAGATTCAAGACTGGAGAACTATAGATCCATAAAACCATTACTGGCTTTGAGTTTTTCTCTTCTAATAGTAAAAGTCATCATAACTAAGAGTTATACAATACTAAAACATCCTCTACTTCTACTAGTAAGATGGAGGTAGAAATAAAATAACAAAATTCATTTTCACACACTTGAAAAGCAAGATTTCCACATCACAGTGTGACAGTTCTGCCAGTTTTAGCGTTCTAGGCTCAGTAGGTCCATAGGTCTTAGTACCACATGGCCTCTCACGCCCTCATGACATTATCATCAAAGATAAGGGACAACCATGAGACAAAGTTCCTTTAAGCAAAAATTCCATTCAGCTCATATCAGCAAACTAAATCTCTGGAGCTTGGAAATTTAATAAACAATATGTACTCCACTCAAATTTGTTAACAGCTTCGTTAACAGCTTCATCTAAAACCTTGTGACCAGGCTACTGGAGTCAAGTAGAGTAAATTTACAGAGAAGAGTTTGGAGACAGATGCTGGTGGCTCACACTTGTAATCCTAGCTACTCAGGAGGCTAAGATCTAAGGACTGCGATTTGAAACCAGCTTGGGCAGGAAAATCCATGAAACCCTTATCTCCAATTAACCACCAGAAAACTGGAAGTATTGCTGTGGTTCAAAGTAGTAGAGCATTAGCCTTGAGGGAAAAGCTCAGGGACAGTGCCTAGGCCCTGAGTTCAAGCCGAAAGAGAGAGAGGAAGAGAGGAAGAGAGAAAGAAAGAAAGAGAGAAAGGAAAGAGAGAAAGGAAAGAAGAAAGAAAGAAAGAAAGAAAGAAAGAAAGAAAGAAAGAAAGAAAGAAAGAAAGAAAGAAAGAAAGAAAGAAAGGAAGGAAGGAAGGAAGGAAGGAAGGAAGGAAGGAAGGAAGGAAGGAAGGAAGGAAGGAAGAAGAGAGGGAGGGAGGGAGGGAGGGAAAGAAGAAAGAGGAGGAAAAGGAGAGAGGGGAGAAGGAAGGAAGGAAGGAAGGAAGGAAGGAAGGAAGGAAGGAAGGAAGGAAGGAAGGAAGGAAGGAAGGAAGGAAGGAAGGAAGGAAGGAAGGAAGGAAGGAAGGAAGGAAGGGAGGAAGGGAGGCAGGGAGGCAGGGGGGCAGGGGGGCAGGGAGGAGAGAGAGGAGTTTGAGACAAGCAAAATGGAAAAGTGACCATACTGACAGGAATGAATTAGAGATAACAATGAAGTGGTCTATAAACCACAGTTTTTCAAAACACATGTTCTATTTTATTAGACAAAAATAAAAAAGAGGGCTGGGAAGGTGGCTCAGTGGTAGAGCGCTGGCCTTGCATGCCTGAGGCCCTGGGTTCGATTCCTCAGCACCACATAAAGCAAAAAGAAAAAAGCGGAAGTGGCGCTGTGGCTCAAGTGGTAGAGCGCTAGCCTTGAGCTGAAGAGCTGAGGGACAGCACCCAGGCCCAGAGTTCAGGCCCCACGACCAGACCTAAAAATAAAAATAAAAGTAAAAATAAAAAAGAATTACCGCCAACACTTAAAACACAAAAACAAGAAAATGTTGCCATGTGCCAAGGGCTCACCCCTGTAATCCTAACTGCTCAGGAGGCTGAGATCTAAGGCCTGTAGTTCAAAGCCAGCCCAGGCAGAAAATTCCATGGAACTCTTACCTCTAATTAAGCACTAAAAAGCCAGAAGTAAAGGTGTGGCTCAAGTGGTAGAATGCCAACTTTGAACAAAAAAGCTAAAGAACAATGTCCTTCAGTGCACTGGCCTGAGTTCAAGCCTCAGGATCAGCACACACACACACAAACAATATACATAATTAAAACAATATACATAATTAAAAGCCAAAGGCTAAAAAAATGCTAATGGTCATCTCAGCCATCAGATGTTGCTGGTGGAGGGCCTTGCCTCTATGTTGAAGTTTGCTGACTGATGAGGTAGTCATGGGTAGGCGAAGGTTGGGGGTATCTGTGGCAATGTCTTAGAACAAGACAATGATGAAGCTGTGAACACAGATGGACTCTTCTTCTTATGACAGATAGCTCTGTAGCAGATGATGTTGTACGGTAAAATGAGTCAATCCTCTCAAACCTTGCCTCTGTTTCATTAACTAAGTTTCTGTAACATTCTGAATCCTTTGTTGTTTCAACAATGATCACAGCATCTTTACCAGGAGTAGATTTCATCTCAAGAGACCACTTTTTCTCTCCTTTATGAGAAGCAACTCTCATCTGCTGAAGTTCTATCAGGATATTACAGCAATTCAGCCCCATCTTTGGCCTCCACTTTGAATTCTAGTTTTCTTTTTATTTCTGTCACACCTGCAGTTACTTCCTCCAGTGAAGTCTCACACCCCTCTAAGAAATCCAGAATAAAGGATAAAATCAACTTCCTCCAAACTGTTTTTATAAGTGATTGTAGCTTTTTTTTTTTTTTGCTGGATATGGGGCCTGAACTCTGGGCCTGGGTGCTATCCCTCAGCTCTTCAGCTGATAATAGCTTTTTTTTAGGTTAATTTAGCTAGTTCTTACCCAGGGTCAGCCTTAGACTTTGACTCTCCTATCTACAACCTCCTTTGCTACTGTTCACATGCTTCTAAATTGCTACTACTGTTAATTCTGATAGCCTCCCCTGAATCATGAATGTTCTTAGTGCCACTGAGAATGGTAACCCTTTTCCAGGTTCTCAATTTACCTTGCTCAGATCCATCAGAGGAATCACTATGTATGACAACAATAGTCTTATGAAATGTATTTCTTAAACAATGAGACTTTAGAGTCAAAATTACTCCTTAATCCATGGACTGCAGAACTGATGCTAGGTAAACAGGCATGAATATTTATCTCATTACACTTCTCCATCAGAGTTCTTGGGTAATCAGGTGCATTGTCAATGAGGAGATATATTTTGAAAGGTATCTTTTTTTTCTGTGTAGTAGGTCTCAACAATGGACTTAAAATACTCAGTAAACCATGTTATAAACAGATGTGCTGTCACCCAGACTTTGTTGCTCCATTTGTAGTGCACAAGCAGAGTAGATTTCATGTAATTCTTAAGGGTCTTAGGATTTTCAGAATGTTAACTGAGCCCTGGCCTCACCTTAAAGCCATGTTAACCCCTAAGAAGAGGAGCCTGTCCATTAGGTCTTTGAAGCTAAGGACTGATGTTTCTTCTCTAGCACTGAAAGTTCACCCTTCACCAGGGACCTCCGCCACACCTTGAGTCTAGATGGTGGCTCGCTGCAGGCTCCATGCCAGCCCCTCCTTTCCTTAAGCCTCTGCTGGCTTCAAACTTATCTTTAGTAGCTTCCTCACTTCTTTCAGATTTGACAGAAGCATAAAGTCAAGGCTTGAGGCTCAAGACTAGGCTTTGGCCTAAGAGAACGTTGTAGCAGCGGCGATCTGCTTTCCAGATCACCAGCATTTTCTCCATATTGGCAGAAGGCTGCTTCACTTTCTCATCTCCTCAAGAACTTACTCTTGCACTCACAACTTGGGCAACAATTTAGATTTGGGCCCAACATGGGGTTTTTTAATCAGCATATTGTAACTATACAGGAGGGAGAAATTTCATTGCAACATCTCCACAGATACACAAGTACTTCAATCTCTTTCCTCCATCACTCCCTTACCTTCCTCCTCCCTTCCTAATGCAATTTCAACGTATTTCAATGTTCTATTTTTATACTTGCTGACAATCTACTTCAACCATAGTCATTCTCTTTTACCCTCTTTAGCCCAACCCCTTCACTAGTAAACCATCTCACCCAATAAAGCTTATTTCTCTCTCCTCCCCTTACCCTCTAC